ACTGAACTTGACCCCGGTATTTACACCTGCAAAGATGAGGATGATGTTCTACCTGGTGGAAATCTTTGGGAGAGACCTGGTGATGTACCTGGACAAGGTCACGGCTGACGGTAAGTGATCACAAATTACACATTTCAAAGTGGCGTCCTATATACTCTTGTTGGAAATCCAAATTTTTAGTTCCCAAGTTCCTTTAGCGAAGGTCAAAACAATTAATTTCGATCGACGACTGAAACTGGTGTGTAAAATGTCACATTAATTATACGTTTTATTACATGCAAAATTACTGACTCAGTCTCGACTGAGACGAGTCCGTTTTGTCAGGTGGCGAAGAGAAATTGACAACAGTCTTCAATTAACTTGTCATAAACACTACATTCGTTTGCAGCAACTTCTTTATCTTGGAACGTTCACAGGGACCCCAGTGGATGTGAAAGAGACGATGACCAGGTTCACGACCGACGTGATAGCGTCTTGCGCCTTCGGCATCAACAGCAACTCAATCAAGAATCCCGACGCCGAGTTCAGACGATACATGCGCAAAGCGGTTGACTTCACTTTTATGAAGGGATTGGCAGCACTGTTGGGGTTCCTTGCGCCCAATCTTAATAAGAGATTGAATCTTAAGGTACTGGATGACGACACAACCGATTATATCAGGAGGACTGTGTGGGAAACTGTGGAGTACAGGTGAAGAACACATGCTCTTTGCTTTTAAGAAAGTACAAAATAACAAATATTTATCATTAAATTACATAAACATGGTTCAAACATAAACTAAAATTGCACCTTCTCTGCTTTGTTTGTGCATCTGAATGTAGAAAATTAATTGACGAAAAGTACATAGGAACACACATAAAAGAATTTCTGCGGGAAGAATTATAATTTTATACTCCCCGTCCAGAATGAATCTGGGGTCCACACAGCCTCTTGTGACAAAGAAAAAATGAAAGTACATCCGCGGAAATAAGGTGGCTAGAGAAAAATATGCCCACCTATTTGTTATCTAGTATGAATTTAAGAATGCACTTAACTTCTACTCCCACCCACCCCCACCCCCCGCAACGTATTTCTGTGTGGTAATTTCCAGCAAAGAAGATTTTGAATTTGCTTACAATAAAAATTTAATTCAAGAATACATTAATAAGAAACAAGGAAACGCTGATTGTAC